AATAATTATCTATGTAGAGATACTGCTTGCAAACCAATGATGGTAAGATGATGTCATGGGGTAGGACTGGATAAGTCTGACTTCTTCCTACTCCATTCAAGCATGTACTAGGTATAAGCAAATTGATATTGGATTAGCATTTGTTGGATATGTGTAAAATTATGTGTGTTGATATATCAACTGTCTTTACATGCTTGAAAGAATAAATAAATCAAATCAAATCAATCAATCAAAGCGCCCCCTGCTTTGTGTTTCTCAGCCTCTTCGTGTTGAGCTGGGAGGATTTCAGATCTCTCAGATGCTTGAATCAAAACACTGGGAGAGATTTGCCTCTGAGCTGAAATCAATTGTCTTTTTGTTATGGAGTGAGCTTTTTCACATGTTAGCACATATGACCCAAACACCCTCGGCGGGAATGCCCTGTAGGCAAAGAAAGGAAAAATATACCTTCGTTTTCTGCTTGGCCCATTTGGATTGTATGCAATACAATATATACTGTACAGTAGATCTTCATTTGTTCAAACCTTAGGCGTCGGAATTACACCAAATATTTTAACAGCCTCCTAATGACGCCACTGGGGATGGACAAAAATTACACACCCATAACACTAAAGCTAAATCAATACCTTTCTGACATCAGTAACAATCAGATATTTAAGATTTGTATCTAGGCTTTATTGCAGGGCCGATGTATTAGCTTAATATCTGATTTGCTTAATGTGTAGCTAATTAATGGCAGCACTTTAAACATGCTATTAAAAGCACATTAAACACATTGCCACTTGTACTGCATAGCATTTTAGAATGAGCATGCACAGTGTGTGTCAAAATTATAGTAAATTAGTCTTGAAACCCAATTCAGTGGCATCAGTCACCTCCAATACCATGTGTTTAATGTTGTCAGAGGTCGTTTGCTATTCTCTATCCAAACATCACATTTTTTGTCTAATATTTTGAATAATGACAAAATCTCAGCCATTTAATTGTGTTGAAACGTAGTCAATCAAACCAGCAAAATAAATTCACATGTAGTGCTCCACACCATACCGCCAACACTCCAACCTAAATAACAGGTCTAACAAAGATACTTTGCTGCAGCACACTCCTGCTTTTTTTAAAAAGATGCAACCAAAATACAACCTTAAGTACTTGATTAACTAAAATGCATTTCCAGCCATTCAACTGCTCAAACATGTGCATTTTAATTCTATCAACAAAACATCAAAACTCACTTACTGAATGTAAGTTGTCAGCCATTGCATTTAAGTGTTGTTTTCAGAAATCAGCCTTCCTTTACATAGGATATTCATGTTTTTGCTACAGTAAGGAAAAAACCTACCTATGGTTTTATCAGTGCCAGAGATGATGGAGGACCTAATGGGCACCACCTCAAAAATGTAACTATATTGTACATGACAGTACCACAGTATAGTGTTTGGTCAGATTGAATCTATTTAGAAGTGAAGATGCTATGACTTTATTGTATCACAGTTGAATCGAATCTTAATGTAAACATTGCCAAATTAAGGCTGATAGTTGGTATTTAGATAATGGTCATTTTCTATATTAACAGTATTTTCAACACTCCCATACAGAGACTAAAGCCTCTAGTTACTGTTAATGTCTGGAAATCCGTCAGTCTTGGTTTAGCTTATTCGTCTGTGCTAATAGACCTCCATGGAAACACACCAATGCATTTATTTCCTCATTACAAAACACAAGACCCTAATATTGGTTAAGAATATCCAGAGATCTTGTGCATGGGCCCTTGACTTTTGCTAACTTCAGATGTTGTAAAACATTAAGGCAGTTTGGAGCATTTTGTGCAGTATTATTCGGGTCAGATGTTTTGTAATGAGGAAACGCGTCAACCAGTGCAGCGGGGTGTTGCACTGTTTAGAATTATTATTTAACAATGGAGGTCTATAGCAAGGATGAATAAGCTAATTCAGGACTGACAGATTGACAGATATTAACTGTGAGCAGAGGCAAATCATTGCTGGTTTTAGTCTTTGTATGAGGAGTGTTTAAAATAATGTTAATATAGAAAATGACAGACCTTATCCTTTACAATCATAGACATTGTTTCATGTCAAATCTAATGCACTAGAGTACAAAAGCTAACACAACAAAAATGTGTCACTGCCCCAATACCTTCTGATTGCCATGTATACAGTATATGGTTGGATAGTTTTCAGTAGCTCTGAGCATGTCATGTGCTGCCTGTAAATGTATGGAAATCCTCCTGTGTTGTGTTCAGCTTTCCACTGAAGCCCTCCAGATGTTTTCTTTTTTTCAGAATGAGATATGGAGTCATGCTGATCCACTGATGTGGGCGTCTTTTGGGGTTGCATATATGTGTGTGTGTGCATAAGTGTGATTGTGTGAATAGTTATCTTTGTCCTATTCTTTCTGGAAATTTAAGTCTAATTGCCAGTTTTCACATGAAGGTGAATTCATTTACATATCAATCTCCAGCTGCTTCCTTTGCCTGTCTCTCTTTCCTTTGCAGGTCATCTCATGCTGCAATGTGGATTTAAATCCATCAGTCTTTCCTCCTTTCCTTATTGCTCTCTCTCTCTCACACACACACACACAAAGATTTGTTTTCATTTCTCACTTCATAATGATTTACATTTTTTTCCTGGAGACTTACCTTATCTAATTTTAGGCAGAGACATATCAAGCCGACAGTCGGTCATTGGCCACATTGTGAGGCAACACAGCAGTCGGCCTTCGTCACTGCTAGTTCTGTCACGTCGGCTTGGCATGTCTCTGCCCTTAATTAAAGTTGTCACTCCAAAAATCAATGAAGGTAAAGTCCCCAAAGTGTGAGTTTGTGAAGACATTTCAGTCCACACAGTGAGAGTAATACCAGGTGTGCACGCACACACAGACACTGTCCCTTTACGTTTCACCTGATAAGTTATTGTATAATAATTCTAGTAGAGAGTTTGTGTTCTAGAGTGGGTGAAACTATGTGTATTTCCTTCCCATGATCCAACATTTGGGATAATAATGTGGAGAGAATTACAGCTAATTGTGCTGCAGACTAATATCCACAACTAATATCCAGAGTGTGACAGACGTGAAAGACACCACAGGACTGTGCACCGACCCCCGGCTGTCCATCAGTCAGTCAGCACCACTGACACCTTCCCACAATGCCACAGGGTGCCTGCTATGAATATTTAACATGTAGAGATGTCTCCTGTCAGCTCCCTGGTGGCTTTAATGATTCAAGTGCCTGCGTGTGCATGTATGTCCACATTCTACATGTGCATACATTTGCTGTGTATGTCCACATGTTCTTTTGGCAAATGTGTGTTTGCATGGTTGTATTTATTCCTTAAAAATACATGTGTTTGTTGTACTTTGTAAGCAAACAACTCAGCATCTTCCCACTCTATTCCTTCAAGACAGGAGGCACTGACTTGAGAATGTTAGATTTAAGCACCAAGAGGGCATAGCTCTGTTATATCTTGCATGCTAGTTCTGTTTATTACAGATGGCCTCTTAAGTCATTTTCTGTGAGGTGGAAGCAAATTGCATGTTCTTCTGTCTTTGCCATTTGCTATTCTCCTTTTGTTCCTCTCTTTGATATCTTTTCAGTCTTCCACAGCTGCACATAGCCACATTTTGTCTTTTAACCATGTGTGTGTGTCTGTAACTATGTTTTATGGCCCCAGGAGGGTCAGAGGTGTTTATATGAGAGAGAGGGTGACTCCCTTATTGCTTCCATAACCCAGGTATATCATATGTAATCCTGTCATTTACAGGGAATAGGAGCATCTGGCAAGCTATAAATGTAATTTAATTAAATAAAATGAAAGCCCATGGGGCAGTATGTGCAGCCTCCCATTCGACCAGCTGAGGGACTGGCTGAACCACATCACAGCCAGGTCAGATCAGGTGGCGTAGGTCAGAAGCACAGGCAGGCATACAGTATAAAAATACGGGAGCTCTTAGTCTGGGTGTGTTTTTCATGGTGTGGACCGCACTACTGTCCAGTTCAGGGAAGCCTTAATGTTTCAGCTAATGGTATTTTAGACTAGAGTGTGCTTTCAATTTTGTAGCACCAGTTTGGAGATAGCCCCTTCCTGTTTCAACATGACAGTAACCCCCTGTACCGAGTTTGTATGAGGAAATGGCTTTCTGAGTTTGAAAGGACTTAAATGGCCATGGCAGAGCACCCATTACAAGTTATGACATCAGTGTCATATGTCAGCAATGCTCTAGAGGCTGAATCAAAGGAAATTTGTGCAGCCTGGACCTTAAATCTTGTGGAGAGCCTTGAGCGAAGGCTGTAATGTAAAGCAGAAAAGATGTCCACATACTTTTGGTCATGTAACATACCTTTTGAAGGGGACATCTTGTCACAATGACCTTTGAGGAGGCAAGTGCAGCAGGATGTTACTGTGTCAGTAGTGAAGGGGCTGAAATAGTGATGGCTGGTGATGGCTGATGATGATGATGATGATGACTACAACAACAATCAACAACAGAGAGGACAAGATCTAGCCTGTGTGTTGATGGGGGATGAGTTGGGATGTGCAGTATGAACCAACTCCTTGAGGACCAAGCAGCTTTCCCTTCCTTCATGTTGCGAGGCCGTGTTCTGGGTTTGTCTTTTCTGTGTATAGCATTTCCAGGCCCCGCTGACTCCCCCTGTAAATCCAATAGTAGTCGTGAGCATGAGTCATTGACTCAGTAAAGCTGCTGAACACATCGTTATCGCTAACCCCACAAACTTGAGAGGGGAGGCAGAGGAGGGATGGAAAAGGATATACATAAATAACTAAAGTAGTATCAAGGAGAGTAAACATTCAATTCCACTTGTTTAAGCACACATATTCATATATATTTATGTGAACGGACATGATTAATAGTCTTTTTCTCCTATTTTCTATTATGTAACATCAGATCTGATAATGTAGCACTATGACTCATGATAAGGATACTTTTTAAAATGAACTTGTGTTTCTGTTCACTGCCCACAGGAATTCAACATACTGCATGAAGGTGTCCATGTCTTTGATCGTGGCAGAAAATGACACAAATCTGTGCTATAACTCCAACATGAGGCGAGCTGAAAAGGCTGAGCTCAGCAAGAGTAAAGAAATCCTCTGTCCTGACATCGATGACTACGTTGAACCAGGCAAAGAGATAGACATCACCTGGTACAAGGTGGGCTAGCTCTCTGGCTGTGCATGTTTGTCATTGTCTGATTATGTCTCACCTGCCCTGTGATTTGTGTATCTGTATACGTACATGCCTGAAGGGTTATTAGGGAAAAGTAATAAGGAGGGCATCTGTCTTTGTAGCTATACAACCGAGAAATATTCGTGAATGGTTCATTGCCTTGTTTTCATCTAATTTCTTGGCTGTTTATGTTTAAAAGCCTTGTTGGAAACGTGGCTCCAGATCACTTAGGCAGATTATGTGTGGATGCAAATGATGAATTACATAAGCTGTGTTTGCAGTGTGCCACTGAGAAAGCCATCTAAAGAAAATAAGGACTGAGTAGAGGGCGGCCTCAGAGATGGTTTTCGTAATGAACACAAAACTTGTATGAGGAGAAAATTGTTGCAATGTCACTCTCTGCCCTGCGGAATGAGTAGATGCCCTCCAAATGCTTTCAGTCCTTGATCTTTATTCAGCATGCACCTTCTCTTCTCTCACCTGGGCTCTTGCCTTTCCCAGGTCGGGCACGGCCTGCGGACAACAAAGTGCATGCCAGAGAAGGGCTCAGGCCAAACTAATCACAGGCAGATCAGCAGTAGATTAGCTGGCCAGGCTCAAGCTCTAGGTTTTTCCAGAATTCAATTACAGTCTGGGTAATGACTGGGAGTGCTGGAACCCAGAGTTATTTGGACCACTGCGGAGCCACAGTGATTGAATTCGAAGGTTGCCGGGAGCAATGGTGGAAGAAAATCTGCAGAGCTGTCGTTGTCCCTACCAGAGCACTGACGGGCTGGAGAGAGGATCATGTCATGGAATCACTCATTGTGGCTACACACACACACACACACACACATGCAGTCCCAGCACAAACACACTTATTCTGCCAGCAGAGACTACAGTAAATAACATTCTCTGTCCTCTGTGGCTCTGCTGGAGTATTGAATGGAGAATATTAAGTTCAGAGCAATAAATCTTGATCGGGTAAGTAGGATAATGGCTAAGCCTTATCATTTTACTGTATGGAGTTTTGATGTCAGAATGTCAAGCTATGCATCCCTACCACCTCATCTGCTTTCTTAACACTCAGGGACATTCAAAAGCCTTTGTATCCAGCTCACACTGGTTATGATCGTAGGGTTTTTCTTTTCGTTTTTTGACTGTTGGATTTATTTATTTTTAATATACTATATGTAAATTGTGATGTCTGAGTACTGTCTATAGGAAGGGGAGGTAAAATAAGCAGTACCTTCTGCCTATAATATAAATGTAAAAATGTGCATATAATGTGTATGGCATGTGAATATATTGCATATATGTAAATTGATTTTGTTTCCAGTTGTTTTAAGCCAATTAAACTAAACTAAACTAAACTAACCAACCAGTTTTAGGTAATGTTTAAAATTTCACCTGGTTGTCCTGTTCTAATGTACAGGAGTGCCGTCCAAAGCAGTGGCGTGCCAGCATCATCCAGAAAAGAGACATTCTCTCAATCCAGGAAGTAAAGGAAGATGATATTGGGAATTATACCTGTGAAATTCAGTTTGGTGGTTTTTTGGTCAGGAGGACAACTGAACTCACAGTAACTGGTAAGTTTTTAGAAAAGAAAAATTCAAATCAAAGTGTGTTATTGTATGTGTGAATGTGCTAGAGGTGTCTACAAATTGTACAGTTTAGGTAGAAAGAGCGAATTCAGTAGCAGTTGCAACAGTCAGAGACAATGGAATGGTAACACACACGCATGCACAAACCACTGAGCACTTCAGCGATGTCCTGCTGTTGTGTTAATTGCTGGGGGAGGTGGAATGCGGTGGCCTGACCTCTATTCCTTCTTCTAACTCAGCACTTTGCAGCCAACCAAGCAGTGTTGAAATATTTAGGGCTATAGGCTAAACCCCTTAACACAGAAAGCTGAAGTGCCAGGACCAAGGTCAGGAGATTTACAGTTGAATTTGTCTACTCTGTGCATCTCCCCCTCTCTTCTGTTTTTTTGCCTGCACAGCTGCAAAGTGCAAGCACATGAAAAATACATGCATTCATTTGTCCCTTCTTAGTGTGAGTGTCTGCCAGGTCAACTGCTCTGATTAGGATTGATAAAAAAGCTTGCCTTTCTCCCTTTAAAACAGCCTAGACAGCCACATTGTGTGCAAGTTTGTTTGATGCCACCTATGGTACCGTGCCCACTAGGGTCACATCATACAAATCAAAACCTACAATTATGGGTGTAATGTGCTCAGTGATGCTGTACGAAATGAAATGAGCATTGCTTGACCTTCAGTTTGGGATAATTATATGACAATCACCAAAACAACAAAAACAACATTCAGAAACAAGTCCTGCATGCCTTCATTGCATCAGTTTGATACTGTTAGGATGCTGTGTAAAGGGTGTAAAGCTCTAAAAGGTGTCCATATCCATTTTCAGCAAATTCACTCTTCACAACAACCCAGGTTGCTTGGTCATTGCATCATGATGTGTGTGTGGTTTTATATTTAAATCAAAACAGTTGGGATATTTATCTATTAGTGGTTTGAGTGTCACAGTGTGTGTTTGTGATGTTAGTCCACACTCAGGTTAGTGTCATGTGTGGCATTTGTGTGTGTGTGTGTGTGTGTGTGTGTGGCTAGTCACTGCTCTTATGTGACATGAAGGTGATAGCAGTATGAGCTTCACAGGATATTTGATTGATGGGCCAGCATTTTAATCTCAGCAGGGCTTAGTAAGTTAGAGTCAGGTAGGCGGTAGATACACTAGATTTCATTTTATCACTGTTACCATCACATTTCCAGGGTTCCTTAAAAAGAGATGAACTTGGAAGTTCCTTGGGACATGCATGAATGGCATATTCCTATAAAACATGTGAGAGGCCATCAGTAGTAGGTCCATTAGGTCCTTAACCTGTCTGGGGCATCACTTCGGCCAGTTCACAGGAAACATATTTTTCTCCTTATCCCTTGTGGGATCTGTTTGTGCAGTTTATTTATTTATTTTTAAATGGAACAATGTGTTTTTCCAGAGACAATTTCCTAGCTACTCAAGACACTCTGCAAGCCTTGCTGAGGACTACTTTATACCTTTGGTACAAACTAATTCTTAGTGAAAACTGTTGAAAGCAAAGCCTGATGTTTTGATTAGTTTTCTCTGTATTTGTAATATCTGACCTCAGTGTTCTGTATTGACTGTGGTTATAAGAGTTTTACTAGGATATACTGTAAATATACACTGTGTACACTAATGATAATGAGAGGAGGAGTGAAAGACAGACTGGGCATGGGCACTGAGCCATGGTGAATTGTAGTTGAAATTTTACTGCCATTTTCTTTCTGTACATGAGCCCTCCATGCTGCCTGTATGCGGTGTGAAGTATAAATATTCAATGAATCTGGCTGAACAATAGCAGCAGTAGAAATACTGTCAATAGCTGGGAACAGCAAAATCATCCCTGTGAAAACAGGCAGGTAGAATAAAAAAATTAGTGTTATAACTTTAGATTTTCTCTCATTCTGAACTTATTTTCCATTGTTCTGTGTTTTTACCATTCTAACTAAATCGCCCACACTCTCTTATATGCCTTTGAGTCGTGCGTACATGTACACTTATTACATATACACTTATTGCTGTGTGTGCTTGCACACTCATGCATACAGAGAAACACCCACACACTGTCTGGACAACCTTGATGCACGTTTCCCATAAATGTCACAAGGTCATCAAAGAAGAGGAAGCTATTTAATTTGTCACCCAAGGTAGAATTCTCTGCAGCTTTAATGCAGCAGGTTGGTGTGAGGAAATCCTACGTTATTTTTCTTTACATGAAGACCAACGTGAAGACAATGTGAGGACAATGTTCAATGGCCCCTTGCAAAGGGTCCCAGTGTCCCATAGAAAACTCACTACCAACAGAAAACTGTCAATGGCTATCTAGAGATTTATTTTGTTTTGTTTTACAGCATCACAGCCTGTCTCCGTCACCAGTTCTGTGCCGTCAGTGATGCTGCTTTTGCTGTAAAAATATGGCTTGCTTTATCACTACAGCATTTTGTTTTATAACCATAGCAGTGGGACACCTCCTTTTCAAAGTTGCAGTATCCTGCTAGAAATAGTTTAGCACATTCTCAAAACAGGCTCATTTCCTTTAATACATTTACACCTTGACTCCGTCAAGTAGGTGGGAGATTATTCACATTTTAACACATCTTGCTAAACATTGTCTTAACATTGTCTGGACAGCAAGCACCAAAGATCAAACTACATCTGAGATCCAAGGACTAATGTTGTAGTTTATTTGATAGGCCAGGAGGATGAAGAAGGTCATTCAGTTTAACTGATCTTAAATATAGGATGCTAGAAACTGACCTCTGCTTTGACCCGCCCTTGCTGCAGATTGTGTCTGCGTGCTCTGCACGTCTGCATCTTCTGCTCTGACCCTGCTGGTACTATGTAACAGCCTCTATATAGGGCAGCAGATGAGCTACTATCTGAACTGACGGCAGTCTTGTAATAGAGGTTAACTATGGGCATAAACACTGGCTCACTAAGATCAAGCTGATCCAGACACCTCTTAATCAAGCGCCGATGCTCCTCAGGTTAATAGAAATGTAAAAGAAACAGTGACCCTTTGTCTCATTTTATGTTCTCTCCAGTTTATGTCAGGGTGCATTTAAATGTTCTTATTTCATTCTAAGCATGTAGACTTGGGGGAGGTAGCACCTGTGTAACACTGGGGTGTGTATTGGGAATAAGAAGATTATTATCAGTAGATGGAATGATTTTGTTTTCCCTTTCCCCTCCATAGCCCTTCACCCCATCCTCCTATCTGTACATAAAAAGCTTTTTTGTGTACTCTTGTAATTGATTCATAGCAGCAGCAGTAGGTTCGTAGTTTTCCCAGTTCCTCTGAAGAATACAGAATGTGGTCAGATCAGTCTACTCTTGTGTTTTCCCCCCTTTTATGATCAGAGACACAAGATGCAACACTTCAGATGAAACCACAACCCAAATATGATTCATTTACAGTTGAAGTCAGAAGTTTACACTTAGGTTGTAGTTATTCTAAATGATTTTTAATCTACTCCACAGATGTAATGTTAACAAACTCTCGTTTTGGCAAGTCGGTTAGGACGTATTTTATGCGTGACACAAGTAATTTTTCAAACAGTTGTTTACAAATTATTTCACTGTATCACAATTCCAGTGAGTCAGTTTACATACAATCAGTTGACTCTGCCTTTAAACAGCTTGGAAAATTCCAGACAATGATGCCATGGCTTTAAAATCTTCTGATAGGCTAATTGACATCATTTGCGTCAGCCGGAGGTGCACCTGTGGATGTATTTTAAGGCCCACCTTCAAACTCAGTACCGCTTAGTTTGACATCATAGAAAAATCTAAAGAAGTCAGCCAAGACCTGAGAAAAAAATGTGGTTCATCCTTGGGAGCAATTTCCAAACAGCTGAATGTACCACATTCATCTGTACAAACAATAAGTATAAGCAAAAACACCATGGGGCAATGTAGCCATCATATTGGCTAGGAAGGAGACACGGTCTGTCTCCTAGAGGTGAATGTACTTTGATCCAAAAAGTATGAATCAATCCCAGAACGACGGCAAAGGACCTTGTAAAGACACCGGAGGCAAAAGGTACCAAAGTATTTATGTCCACAGTAAAACAAGTCCCATATCGACATAACCTGAAAGGCTGCTCAGCAAGGAAGAAGCCACTGTTCCAAGACTGCCATAAAAAAGGCTGACTACGGTTTGCAGCTACACATCAGGACAAAGATCTTACTTTCTGGAGAAATGTCCTCTGGTCTGATGAAACAAAAACTGAACTGTTTGGCCATAATGATTATTGTTATGTCTGGAGGACAAAGGGGGAGGCTTGCAAGCCGAAGAACACCATCCCAACCGTGAAACACAGGGGTGGGAGATTATGTGGATATATTGAGGCAACATCACAAGACATCAGCCAGGAAGTTAAAGCTTGGTTCCAAGTGGGTCTTGCAAATGGACAGTGACCCGAAGCATATTTCAAAAGTTGTGGCAAACTGGCTTAAGGACAACAAAGTTAAGGTATTGAAGTGGCCATCACAAAGCCCTGACCTCAATCCAATAGAACATTTGTGGGCAGAACTGAAAAAGTGTGTGCAAGCAAGGAGGCCTACAAACCTGACTCAGGTCCACCAGTTCAGTCTGGAGGAATGGGCTAAAAGTCCAGCAACTTACTGTAAGAAGCTTGTGGAAGGCGTCCCGAAAGGTTTAACACAAGTTAATCGATTAAAGGCAGTGTTACCAAATACTAATTGATTGCATGTAAACTTCTGACCCACTGGGATGTAAGAAATAAAAGCTGAAATGATTTTTTTCTGCCAGTATTCTGATATTTCACTTTTTTAAAATAAAGTAGTGATTATAACTGACCTAAGACAGGGGAATGTTTATAGGAATAAATGTCAGGAGTTGTGAAAAACTGAGTTTAAATGTATTTGACTCAGGTGTTTATAAACCTCTGACTCCAACTGTATGTACGCACATACAGTATGAGTCACTCAGCGTATGCATGTTTGTGTGTTTGTCGTCTTAAAGTTA